AAAAAAAAAGAAAAAAAAAGAAAAAAGAAAAAACTTTCATTTCAGGTGTTTTATAAAATATGTGAATCAGGAAATTATCTTTAAACCAAACTGAAAGGTTGTTGTTCTCTACTTCAAAAAACACTTTAGATTTTAAAATGCAAAAATGTTCTATTTTTTTTTTAAGAATTCACTGTATAATATGAATGCATAAATACCTGATTTTATTTCAGTGTTAAATTCTTTTTAAAGTCACAGTTTAAAATTAAAAATGGCTCCAGACCTTTACTGGTTGATGATTTTATTAATTCGGACCCCGCTGATATTTAATTAATTATCCCTGGTGTAGCCTTTTTTGACAATGCACTCACCTGAAAACTCAAAAAGGCAGTTAAATGACTGGAGAGAGGACCTACGAATTAAAGTCTTGGAAGACCACTGGGAAGCTGTGCCAGGCAAAAACTGTGAGTACACTTGTAAAAAGGATACCTTTTAAATGGATAATGCAGATGTAGGTTACACCGGCAAAATTAAACAGATACAGTAGTAGTGATTCAAAATTTCCTCACTTTCCTTGATGGACCCTTGGCTGGTCTGCTACAATTCCTTTATAAACATCTAAAATATTCTTTCTGTCATGATATGTTGACTTTAATATCTAAAAAGAAGCAATATCTCCTGGTCAAACCCATTAAGTCAGAGTAAAAAAATATGTACGCCCATAAGAAGGCTGGAAGTTGGAGGGGATTTTGCTGACATTCGGCTGCATCAGCTGGCTTTAGACTAGGAACGGCCATTTTGATTGGCTGCTGCTGTACAATGACAACATACCAGACATTTGCAAAAAATATATGTGGAGGATAAAAGAATGCTACTTCATTGTTTGTGACAATGTTAGAAGATTATATTTTTCTGGGAAGAGTTAGTAGGAACATAAAAAATTGCAAAACCAATTGCATCGAACCCCCTTTTTTTGTCTGTGTGCGAACCATCTCAAAGAGGCTTGCTTTCACATCAATGATACAAAAAAAGAAAGCTTGTCCACACACTTTAAAGTGAAGAGTAGATCAATACTAACTGTGTGTTACAAAACTTTAAAGGCAAGAGCTGTGAATAACTTTGCTGTGTCGAACAGCTTAGCCTGATTGACTGTAAACACCTTAACACTGCAGCTAATGTAAGTGAATTATTTTTATAAGACAGCTGATCTTATCTGTGCTTCAGTCTTTTCTTCATGGGACATATGCAGTAATTCTGATTGTGTGCTCATGTTTAATTGATTTTGTTAGTGGCAGCCTGGTTCATCACAGCAGAGTGAAGCAGCTCATGCTAAATGTGAGGTGTTGGTGTACTTTTTGGATTGTTTATTGAACGGTTGTTTACAGTTCAGGGTTTCCAGCCATCCCTTGAAAAACTGGATTGTTCCATATTTAGGAACAGTGTTCTGTGCTCTGTATTGAGATAATAAGAGAGGGATTTGATGGGATAAATAAATGTATATTATTGTTTTTTAAGACATAAATAAATGGCTGTGAGTTATCTGGTCAACCTGCTCCTGTTGTGTGCTCTTCTCACTTAGGCGACAAACTGCTAGGAGCAGTCTGTAGCAGCCCATCAGTCAAAGCTACAGTCTTTATATTATGTATTAATCTGCACTCCTAAACAACAACTTTACAAACACTAACTGGTTGCCATAGTTGCGGGTTGTTGGGGTACAGCCTTCAGCCGGATGAGGGCATGAAAAGCCAAAACAGCAAAGATGTAGCTTAGAGAAATGAAGGGTTTTTGCTTGATCTAAGAGGAACTTTCCTGCTAAAACTGATAAAAACATTCTCTGGGAGCCTCATTGTTAATATTTTTTTTTATTTTCAAATGTAGCATAACATAGGTCCTTTGGGATTTAGATTAACATATATGTTAACATTCAGATTTATTATTGTATACTTATTTAGATTTATGATTTATATTTCATTTCAACATTTATATTTATATTTTAGCCCCTAAATATTATAAAAGAAGCATTTGCAGTATAGTGAAGAAACAAAATTTTCATACTAAACATTATCACCTTACATAGAGTAAGTCCATGGGGACAGAAATATGAGGTGGAGAGAAAGGACAAGAGTCAGTAAAAAGGCTTCTGGAGCCTCATTGGAGTGCAGGAGTCACGACTCCTCCATAAAAAATGGAGGAAACTGAGCTCTGTTTTCCACAACTCTTCAACATCTCTTGCAGCAGAACAAAACGCCCTCACTATGAAACAACGATAATCTACTTTGTGCTATCCTCCATCTCTCTGCTCACCTTATCTCTAAATCTGCTGGTCATCATCTCCATCTCACACTTCAGGTTTCAAATGAGTTAGCAAATATTTACATAATACTTGTAACTGCTTTTAATTATTTTGAGGTTTTGTAGTATAGCACAACTGCTTTTATACGAATAATAAGAGATAGCAAACTCTAGAGATGATGCATCTGCATTTGTTTTTTTTCACAGGCAGCTCCAGTCTCCCACCAACCTGCTCCTTCTTTCTCTGGCTGTGTCTGATTTCTTTATTGGTCTCCTCATGTTTTTTCAAATTCTTCTCACAAATGGATGCTGGTTCCTGGGCGATATTGCCTGTGTCATCTATTCACATTTTTCTTACATTATTACTGCAGCCTCAATCGGTACCATGGTGATGATATCTGTTGACCGTTATGTAGCTATATGTTACCCCCTTCATTACAAAATGAAAATAACACAGAAAAAAGTGAAGATATGCGTTTGCCTGTGTTGGACCTGGTCTGTGGTGTTTCAGAGCCTTAATCTGATGGAGAACTTCAAACAACCAGGCATGTATAACTCCTGCTTAGGTGAATGTGTCATTGTGATAAATTACATTGCAGGTATGGCTGATCTTATTTTGTCCTTTATAGTCCCCATCACTATAATAGTAGTTTTGTACCTCAGAATATTTGTGGTGGCAGTTTCTCAGATTCGAGCTATACACTCTCACACTGCAGGATTAACCCTCCATGGTTCTGTAAATGTTAAAAAATCTGAGATTAAAGTAGCCGGGTCCCTTGGGGTTATAGTCATTGTGTTCCTGATATGTGTACTACCATATTTCTGTGACACACTTGTAGGCCAAGATACTTTACTCAACGCCTCATCCTCTGCTTTTGTGTTATGTTTGTTCTACTTTAACTCTTGTCTAAACCCTATTGTTTATGCATTCTTCTACACCTGGTTTAGAAAATCAATTAAGTTTATTTTAACCCTTCGGATTTTACAGCGTGATTCCTGTGATATAAACATGCTATAAAAAAAACATTTACTAAACCATCGTCAAAAAGACAATTTAAACCATATTTCTTAATGGTTATCAAAGCAGAAAAGCATGACATAAACAAATGCAAGGAAGCAAATTTTTCTAAAACTAGATTTTCTTCATAAAGTTCCTCCCGTTTTTAGGATCTAATTTTAAAAGAAAGTGTAGATTGTCTCTGGCATTAGCACTTCTGTTCTCAATTATAGTATACAATATATCTCATATTTTCTTTTGGGATTCACTCTGAGATAAGAAAAGGGAAACAACTAAACTCTGAGCTGGCAGCAAGCCTTCTTTTTTCAGCAGGGACACATAGATTTGGGTGAAATTCATCAGACTGATTATATATTAATTTGATCTTCACACATCAAACAAAATATGTTTTACATGTGGCATAGATATGATCTTTGGATAAATTAAATAAATCTAAAATCACTGTTTGTATTTCTTGTTTTTATTTCAAGTCACACAAAGCCTAGGCTAAGCATTTCATTTTACTTAACTGTAAAATGTATGTAATGGAAACTAAGATTTTGTAATCAGTTGGTATACTTTAAAATAAACAATAGTTAGATTTATTTAACACCTATAATTGATTGATATTTGAGAACAGTCACAGAAGAACAAGTGCAATCCCTTGCCAAGAAGGCCAGCACACAGTATGATGTCTAAAACTGAAAAACAGCATTTTTCCAAAGGTTTATGTAATTTGTTGTGTTTTACACATTAATTATTATTTTTTCTTTGATGAATGATAATAAAGAAAAATGTGCATTGTACAATTGTTAGCTATATATAATAAGTTCAGGGAGAAGTGTTAGGATTAAGTCCTTTTAAAATAATGAGCTAAAGATTATATTGTTGACCATAGAAAAAACTTCATTAGGTAGGTAAAAGTGTTTCACCACATTAAATCTGTTATGTAACTGCAGCTACTGTTAGTGAAGAACTATTGTCTGCTAAGAACATAAAACATTTCCATCATTCTAAGACTAACAGCTTGATATGTTTTGTCCCAGCTGACTGACAATAATAGAATTACAAGTTTTAGTTTTTTAAAGTTTATTCCTTCCATTATTCCTTAGATATGTAATGGATGTCATAGTTTAATCTAATCTGAAGAGATCCTGACGATGGATCCATGAGCAGGAAATTTGATTTAATTTACATTTTGTTTACTGACTTGCATCTACGTAGTCAGAAATATTGCTTTACAGCAGCACAATTTACTTATAATTACACTTATTATTAAACTTATCTTAACCTTTATTATTATAATCACCAGGTAAAATCAAACTTAACAGACACAAAGTATTTTGGGTAAAAATTATTAGTATTAGTATTAGAATAATAAATAACAAAAAAATAGGACTTACAAAACAAATTAATACCTAGACCTGTTCCTAAGCAATTTCCAAATACTTTTTAAACTAAAAAAAAAATTGAGGAGACAGAGTTAGACAATGGATGAGCACAAAGTGGAAAAATGATCACTTTTAGCTTTGGAAAACTGCTAATAAACCTAAAATGTTTGGCTCTCCTCCTGAACGCTGAACTCTTCCAGTGAACATGAAATAAATATGAAATAAATTTAGCTTAAAATGAAAAACTGAGTTAAAAAGTTAGTCACTGAATACAAAAAGTAGCTTTACAAAATAAATGTGTCACAAAATAATAGAAAATAAATTGTTTAATTAATAAATATTTCAATAAATAAAAATCTTAAAGTATAATTAAATGAGAAATATTTTTGAAAATTTTAATTTCATGGGGATATCTTTTTACTTCAAGGTATAGTCCAGGATGTCCTTTTTCCGGGTGGATCATCTAAATAAGTGGTCCTCCTACAGTAATTTGTGTAATTTTAAGTTCAATGCCCATCCAGGTTAGCCTCATGAGACCATCCTGATCTCGCAAGCTTTCAAGGTTTCACTCGCAGATCAGTCTGGAGACTTTCCGTTAAAGAA